TGTAGCATTATGGTTTTCACGCTGGTCTCTATTTCTATTTTCGTTCCCTAGTCTGTTTCTTGGTTCGTAATTATTTTCTCTTTCGTGTCTTCTTTCATATTCCCTCCTTGGTACGAAATCTCTTCTTGGTCTTTCTGTATAATAGCCTTGTCCTTGGTTTCTGTTGTGCTGTGTTTCCCGGTGTGGGTAATTTTCTTGTCTTCTCTTGTTTTTTCTTTCCTGCTGACGTGATTCTCTGACTTGTAGGAATTGGCACAAATCATCGATGTTTTTATAATTCTGCAAAGTAACATGGTCTTCCAATGTTTCTTCAAAGTGTCTCGCAATTAAATCAACAAGTTGTTCTTCCGAATAATTGTATTGGAGATGTTTTGCATTGTTGTACATTTGCAATGCATATGTTTTCGCTGACTTTTCTAATTTTTCACTATATTTTCCATTTTGAAGCTCTTTATTTATTTCTAGTTGTTGGATTTTTCCCCAAAAATATTGTAGAAATCTTTCTTCAAAATGTTCCCAGCTATTAAATGTGTCTTCTTTACTATCGAACCACAGACTAGCTTCTTCCTTTAGGCGGTTTCTAATTTCTTCTTTGCACGCCTCGAAATCTTCGGTATATTGCAATTTCTTTTTAAGATTCTTAATAAAAACAACCGGATGTGTTTTTCGCACATCCCCGCCAAATTGTATTTTCGCTTCTCCTGTGCCATGAATAATTACTTCCCTTCTTGCTCCGACTATTTGTTGATTTTTTATGTTTGCGATTTGTTTATCGATTTCTATCCTATCTAATTGTCTCGCTTTTTCGCATTTGTGTCCTAAATCCTCCAAATTTTCTGCAATTTGTTCTATTTTTTGTTTGTCTTCTTTTCTTCTTATTTCTAGATCCTCTATTTCCTTTCTAATTTCTGCATTCTTTAATGTCATCTCTTCCATACGTTGTATCATTTCTCTCTTTATTCCCTCTACACATCCTTTAATTTCCTGGTAATTTTTTTTTATTTTATGATCCATCATCTGCATTGTTTCCTGTTGATTTTTTTCCATTTTATGTTCCATATTCTGGATTGTTTCCTGTTGATTTTTTTTTATGTTATGCTCCATATTCTGCATTGCTTGTAAGATTTTATCCATATCTGATAAACCCTGGCTTTCTTTTTCCATCGTTGGTTTTTCTGAACTTTTACTCCTTGTCGTAGACATTTCCGACGGATTTGTATCCCCGCCAAACAATAAGATTTTTTTAAATAAAAAATTTAAATTTGTTGTCGACAAAAAATAATCTCTCACACAAATGTATTACCTTAATTAGAATATAGAATATAGAATCCCAATATTAATTTTTAAATGGAAACAAACTGCACGAAAATGTATAATTTTCCCAATTGTCTCCGCACTAAAATACAACTCGATATTTTTTTAGCCCTTCACGTTCGGCGCCAGTTGTTATGGTAAGTAGAATCTATATTTACCAATTATTCAATTAATTGTTACTAAAAAAAAAAAAACTTACCAACAAATCCTCAATTTATTATCAGGATCGTGCTTCAAATATCGATCTCGTTGTATTTTAGGTAAGAGGACAAAAAGGAAAGAAATAAAATAATATACAAATATTCAATCAATAAACAAATCAGATTATATTTAACAAATTTAAAAAAAAATATTAATTAACATTTATCCATGCAAACCCTTTATGAAAAACAATACTTATACTAAATTTTAAGTCCTTCGATTATTTAAATATAAACCCAGCAAATGTTTCTGACAATAAAAAAAATTCAAAAGTCAATTAAGTCCCTCTTGCAAGATTTCACTTCGCCACGGCAATTTTTAAATAAAGAAACAAACTTACAGTTCTGGTAAGGTTCTTTTTCAGGGCTCTCGAAACACCTCTATATAGCCCACCAGGAAAACAAAACCACGAAGACTACCCTTTGGCAATTTTAAATTCTAACTTTCTCAGCTCCAGCAAACAACACAAAAATTCACCATTCCATTGACTCTTCACTGCATTAAACCTTCTACCACCAGCACCGACGAAACTCTTAAAACAGCCGTTCTTCCTTCGGAAATTCTAAAGAGTGTGACGTTTGTCAAAGTTATTGTTCTATTCCCCCGCAAAATGTCAAAACTGTCACTTTTTATCCAAAAATTGCTTTCATTTTTTATAAGCCCACTAATTTACATATCTTATATTTAATGACAGAAATAATTTTATACATTTTCTTAAGTAAACAAACTTACTTATTTTTTTTGTCCAGATTATTTCCAAATAACAATTTGTATGGTTCTTTAAGTTTTTTGGAACCTTAACAATATATATATATTTATTATATATATACATATATATATATATATATATATATTTATTATATATATATACATATATATATATATATATATATATATATATTTATTATATATATATATAATATAAATATATATATATATATATATATATTAAAATATATATAATTAATTAAAATTATTTAAATGATATGATTATGACTCTATCACACTTTTTAATTCTCTTATCTCAGATATAACAATATATGAACTATATATTGATAAAACATATATGAACAATATTAGTTATAATCTCAAAATCCCAATTCTTATTCTAAATCTCCTAATCAAAATATTTATATCTTTTCTAAAGTAATTGTAATAATTGTGTTATAAATAAAAGAAAAACTGCAGAAAAACAAAACTATCTCTGGATGATGATGAGTGGTCCAAATCCTTGTTTCTTGTAGCCTACACTATCTATTCTTAGCAGCTCCCTAGGTAATCAGCAATCTTACAACAAATTGTTGCAAGTTTATTGTCCTTAATGATCTCCTTCAAATGAACGAATCGTTCAAATTATGCTAGCCTCTTCTTCTCTCGATAAACTGAATCTCTCGTTGGTCTGAGTGAAAAATAACTCTTGAAATATCTTCTCTTTACGATAAACTGAATCTCTCGTTAGCCTGAACAGTGACTTTTGGAATATAAGTAGAAAAATATGACTTACAAACTTTTACTGGATCAGCTTCTGTCAGATACACTAACTACACGAAAACTCACAAACTTTCACTGCTACTGCTTCCTACCTCTAGGAAACTACCCGAGAACAACGGTCGTTCGCCTTGCACCCCTGGAAACCAACTCTCTATATTTTTTTTCTTCAAAATCTAACTAAAGTCTCATTCTCAAACCAACCATCCCACCTTTTTCAATCTCATCCAATCAAAACGCGTCATACATCTCTCATTTCTTCATTTCGTTAACACAAACAAATTTTTACCTACAATTATAAAATTTCCGAAAATTATTTACAAACTAATCTTTTTCTACCAATTCTTATGAACTAACAAAAACATGTCTTTCTAAAATCTATTCTATTGTCCTAATTACTGCACAAATTTATTTGGAAAACCCGCTTCCATTGTTTAAGATTTCACTTAAGCTCATCACGTCACTCAAATATATTTTAACAAAGAAAATAATTTATGCATATCTTACGTTTTGTTCAATATAGGTAAACCAAAGATAAAAGACTTTCATTCTTCGAAATGTTTGTAGTTTATTATTCGACTTATCTGAATTATTTTAATTTTTTTGAACTTTGAAATATTTTAAGCAAACCAATATTTTTCTCGATTTTACATATCATAACAAATCCCCGCCATTTGATCTGTCGAAAACTCTTTGTTAAATTTAAAAAATGACAAAAGTTTTCCAGGATCAAATTATTTCACTATGTTATTAAAATCTACTCATGATACTGATAGATGTTGTGAATGTTAAAATACCCCGTATATTGCCTGTCTTTATACGGGATTGGATATGTTTTCGATTTAAATTTTTCCAAGTATTTAACCTTAAAAGAATGTTCATAATTTTTAGCCACTCGGCTTTCTTCATTAATAAGATCTTAAATTAATACGATTATAAGGAGTCTTAAAAACGTACCACTGCTTTTAGTAGAAGAAAGTATGCAAAATTCATGTTTGTCTACATTCAGTAATGCTAAATTTGCTAAAATTCCAAACGTTGGTGTGACGAATTTTACCGTTACTTTACTTTACTCTTCTTTATTTTCTATAACGTTTAAACAACTTGTTGTTTGATATTTTTGTAAGAGTAATATCCGCAAAACTATTGCGGCTATTACTCTTACCCTCTCGGTTATTTTAACTGATTTTCTATAAAATCGTTGATTAACTAAACTGCCAAAGTACTTTTCCATTACTTTTAGATATCCGTGAACTATTCGTGAACTAGTTGTTTTAATATCTTTCTCTGAATAACATTTTTAGTTTTTTTACTCTATAGTAGAAGAATGTTAGTTTGCTTGTCCTCCATTCTTTTGCTATTTTATTGTATTTTATAATTTTATTAATTAATGTTAATTGTTCTGTCATTTCTGCTCCACAATATTTCAGTAGTTCGTTTGGTGTCCAGTCTTTGCCTGCTGTTTTTCTGTTCTTATCTAGTAAATGTAGTAACCAATTATTATATAAACTTCTAACTGGACGAGAGCTTACCGAATGAATCTTAGTACCGTTCAATACCTATTATGAATAGCTTGGGTAGGATGTATTTGTTGATCATATTAAAGCGTAAATAAAACTCTAGCATGTTACCCGTATTGTATCAATCAGAAATAGAGATCGTGTATCTCCAACACGATAGACTGATAATTTAAATCGAAACTTGATGCTTACTGATAAATAGATAAAGGATTAAAATGGATAGAGAGCTGTGGAACAGAAATTAAAACATAATTCGGCAATTAAAAATCCAGATTTTTTTTTAAGATTTATCAATGTAAAAGCTTTATTTTTTTATTTATCCAGATAAAAGCTTACAAAGTATATATTTTAAATAAATTTACATTAGAGCAGTTTTTAAATTAGTTTAAACTCTTAAACAGCAATATTTTTTAGGTTTTATATAAAATTTTAGAGTGGCATTGTATTTTCATCTACGTTAATATCACCATTTTTCAGGCAACGTAACACCAGTTGTGCCTTCCCGAAAAGATCCCAATCTCTTAATGGTCGGTTTAAATAGATCTGTGGTGGCAGTCGAATGGGACGGAAAAAATAACCTGGGAGGTCAGCAAGTTCTTACTACACTGAGTCAACAATTCCCAGATAGCAGGTTAAATGATGGCAAGGCTGACAAACAAGGAAGGTTGTGGTGGGGTAAGTTTATAATTTGTGATAAATAAAATTTACTTTTAATTAGAACTTATTGTTTTCTGGAATAGTTTATGTTTTTTATAGTTAGTGTGTTTATCTAGTACCTAGTAGTAGGTCTATCGGTTTTTTCTAATTATTTTATATTTGTTATCAGTTTAATTAAAAAATAATCTCTGCAGATAATTATATTAGTCTAAAATCTTTACAGAATAGTACCAGCTATACTGGAGAATATAGTGAGCAAGTAGTAGAAAAGCATGCCTTAAAAAAGGCATACTCACTGCATTTAAATCCATAAAATCCAGATAACAAGCAACTAGTCATACCAAGAAATCAAAACATTTTATAGCGTTTCGTAGTGTCTGTCGTCGGTGTTCTTTATAAATGGTCGCTTCAAAATACCTATAGTACGGGCGTCCCCTTTTTCTGTGTATAGCTATGTACGTTATTTTTTAGTTCACCTATTTCATGTAACTTTCTTTTTTCTAGTTTATTAATTAATATTCAGTATTATATTTTAGATAATTTGGTTTGTTGTCTGGTTTTCACCTTATTTTTTGATTGCTGTATTTAAATATAATATTTCCTAGATACCTTTGATAAATCCATTACTCATATACGTCTTTTCTTCATTTTGCTTTATTTATGTTAATATGAACGCAGTGTCTTCTTCTTTTCGGAAGTGTTCTTCTGCTGCTCTATACCTATCATGAGCCATTTTAAGTCTAATGCGGAACATAATCCCTTGACAGGTTATTTGTGATTGGAAGGTTACTTTAATAATGGAGTAGGATTAGCGAAAAGCACCGATCGCGGCGTAGCGTAGGTAATAGATATCATACTAAATCTATTACCCGTGTATCTACCACATACGCGCGACCGCTTGAAGGTTAAGTCAATGCTTTCTTACGATACTCTACCTCTTTTCTTTTTCTTTTTAATTAATAAAATCTTAAAATAAATGTTTGTTTTTTAAATGGCCATTTAATATCATGATGAAACCCATGCAAGTTTTTTACACGTACTATCATACTCTTATATATAAATTTGAGTCATGCATAAATCACTTTCCCTTTCTATTTTACTATAGTTTATTTTTATGAACGAGAGAGTAATTAGCATAATTTTAACTAGCACCTCCGACCACTCCATGGGCGTGCTCAAGATTAATTGAAAAATTACTTTGAATAATTGTAAAAAATAAATGAATTATTTCAGTGTTATAAAGTGTTATGTGTATGTAAACAATAGTGACCTCTTTTATCACACACTATATTAGAACTGACTGGCCTACATTAAAAAGGGTTATAAAAATTCACATTTTTTTAATTTTTAAAAATTACAAAAGAGAAAAAGAGTTTTTAAAACCGTCTAAGGTATGTTAAATAGATAAATAAAAATATTAATATAAAACTTACAGCTACTTGTTACAAATCCAAATCAGATTCAGAAGATGAACTTTCAGAACCAAGATTTATAATAACTGGCTCGATCATTTTATCAGTAATATTGTCCAGCTTCCACATTTTTTCCTCTTCTTTAATAGTGTGATTTACTGCCTTTTCCCAGTTTTCAGGTTTTACATTATTTACGGCCTCCAAAAACAACTGTTTAACATCATGAATTTTAAAAGTGGTATTTTTTCTTGAAACTTCACTCTTTATCTATGCCCATACCAGTTCAATCGGGTTTAATTCACAATGATATGGTGGGGATCTAAGTACTGTCATTCCACGATTTTTGGCAATTTCATCAATTTCGTATTTTTTAAATTTTTCTTTATGAAGGGCACACAACGAATAAAGTTCCTTTCTTATAGATCCGGGATGGTACGTAATATTTTTGAACTCAGCCAATTCTGCAAGTCTTTTTTTAACCACTTGGTTGTGGGCAGTCCTTCTATACGTCTGGAGTGATAACTTGCATTATCCATTACTATTACACAGTTCTTAGGAAGAAGATCTATCATTTGTTCGAACCATTCTTGAAAGACATCAGCATTCATGTCTTCATGGTAGTCACCGGTACGAGTTGATTCAAAAGTTAATAAACCACCTTCAACAAAACCGTCTGAACTGCCAACGTGTACTATTATCAGCCTGCGTCCCTTTCCTGATGGTGGGTTTAAACAAGTAGATAAGTTATTTACAAAAGCGTGCCTTTGATTTGTAACAGTTTCATCCTGCCAAAATTTATTTGGTGTATGACCCTCGTTGATCCATGTTTCATCAAGATAAAATATTTTTCTTTTTTGGTTTCTCATTTCCTTTATGGTTCTTAGAAAATGTCTTCTCCATATGACAATATCGCTTCTTTCTAATAAAATAGACTTTCTGGGATTCTTTTTCCAGCAGAAGCCTATTTCTTTTAAAAGTTTCCATAACGTACTTCGACTCATTTCTGGGTAATCCTTATCATCTCGAACTGAGACAAGAACTTTATCCAATGTTGGAAATTCTTGTCTAAAGAAGAATTCATGCACTTTCTGTCAAAGTCCTTCTTTAAAATGATATTCTATTTGAAATTTTGGTTTCCCTGGAGCATTACGTGGCATTTAAAAACTACCACATTTCTCTTCTTTAATAACTCTGTAAATCGTAGATTTCCCAACACCAAGTGTACTGCAAACTAACTCAACGGTCTCATCAACACTTTCACATAAACGTTTGTCTGTAAATGATTTAAAACAATTAAATATTAATGTTTTTTCATTAACTGTTAAAGGACGAATTTTTCGACGTTTACACGGCACTTCCAAATTTTCCATAACACTAGTATACACAATAAACTGCACCTTGCAACTGAAATACCTACTTTTAGTGAACTGTTAAGAATTTTGAATACGCCACTTGGACCTTCCTACAAAATGGAAAAACCCACTATCACATTTTCTGTGGAATAAGTTTAGAAGGTAATTATCTAGTCAATTACTGTCGTAGATTCCTGGAATTAAAGAATTAAATGTTTGATTGTTGAAACCCTTACTTCGTGGAATGCACTCATTTCAGATATAATAAAACGTTTTATTTTATCTAAAGAATTAAACTTTATTTTGCAAATAGGTAGGTACTTATTAAACTTTTATTGGTTAGGTATATATAACCAATAAAATAAACATCTTACATTTCTTGCAAATTCATTAGTACCTGTTAACCTCCATCACTCCGACACTGGCAACCTTATTTAGGGATTAGTAACCCTCACAAGTATTGTATTCTATTCTGCTCCAACCTTTATACCTGGTGGTCATACTCAATTTAAAATTGTTTTCCTATATACTTCTGTAAACTTGTTGACAAATATCTGTTTTTCATTGAGTCACCCGTATCAACAGTTTAGGGATTTGCATACATAATTTATTGTTTTATTACTCTCTCATACATAAAAATACACTGTAAGAGCGCTAAACTTTTATATGGTTACATTATTACAACCAACAGATATCACATGAATAATAGCGTCTATTTTTAACTCTAAATGCTGGATTACTTATGCATATACAAATTTTCTATATGCGGTATTCACCTTAATACACGCAATAGTATTTTTATGAAAAAATAATACGTTTAGGAGTCTACATAAATAATACAGAAGATTTTATACAGTAACGTTTGTATATCTACTATTGTTCTGGAGCTATTTTCTTGTGGCATTTTAAAGTAAATACTATTTAAATGTGAATAATTTTTACAAAACTGTTACGAAACACAAAATGAATGTACTTTAAATAGGTAAAGAAATAATAATAAGACTTACTCACAATCAATTTAATTTAACAATCAGACGACCGGTTTCGCTTTCTACAATTTGCAAAGCATCTTCAGGTCTAGATACAAAGTTAAACTAATGCTGCAATAAAATAAACCCAATTAGGGTGGTGTCTAATAAAGATAAAATAAACAAATAAGTTAGTTCATACAAATTATAGTAATTATGCCAATATTATATGTCTGTGGTTTTCAAAATGAATAAATTTGAATATATAAAAGGTATTAACAGACAAGGTAAGACCCGCAATTGGTATAAAGTAGTAATAATATATTGTAATAAATTAATAAATGAGCAGATAAATAAAACAAAACAAACATTACTTACATGCCGGTACTCTATTAATTGATGGATGGTAGGTCATGGTTGCAAAAACCATGTATTGTTGATTGGAGAACTTTAATGTGCTATTGCAGTTGTTTTGACAATAAACGGGAAGTTCTTGAGGAGAACAGATTTGATCCAATGAATTAGAGATAGGTATATTGTGGTTGTTTGTCAAATGAAAGTGATGTTCTTTACTATTGTATTATTTAAATTATTTACACTTATATCAGAGATATATTTTTGGAATGTGTGTTATTTATTTAAGTCTCCTTTATAACATAAATACTCAATAAATAACACACATTCCAAAAATATATCTCTGATATAAGTGTAAATAATTTAAATAATACAATAGTAAAGAACATCACTTTCATTTGACAAACAACCACAATATACCTATCTCTAATTCATTGGATCAAATCTGTTCTCCTCAAGAACTTCCCGTTTATTGTCAAAACAACTGCAATAGCACATTAAAGTTCTCCAATCAACAATACATGATTTTTGCAACCATGACCTACCATCCATCAATTAATAGAGTACCGGCATGTAAGTAATGTTTGTTTTGTTTTATTTATCTGCTCATTTATTAATTTATTACAATATATTATTACTACTTTATACCAATTGTGGATATTACCTTGTCTGTTAATACCTTTTATATATTCAAATTTATTCATTTTGAAAACCACAGACATATAATATTGGCATAATTACTATAATTTGTATGAACTAACTTATTTGTTTATTTTATCTTTATTAGACACCACCCTAATTGGGTTTATTTTATTGCAGCATTAGTTTAACTTTGTATCTAGACCTGAAGATGCTTTGCAAATTGTAGAAAGCGAAACCGGTCGTCTGATTGTTAAATTAAATTGATTGTGAGTAAGTCTTATTATTATTTC